TTCATGGTGATCACTTTCATAGAATCTTCCTATGGTGATTGTACCATGCAATTTTTGTGAAATGAACCAAGTTCTCACCAAGTTTCACCTTGCATACATCAATGAACATTCACACAAGAGGTCACACGTGAGAAGCCAAAGCTGAGATACAATCAACACATGCGGATGCCGTCACCAAAATTATAATTATTATAAAATGAAATGCTTGTCTCCAGCGGCTCTGCTGCACACTCACACCCACACTCAGAACTGATCGCAACCGGATGACGGCTATGGCTTCTCTCTCTCTCTCTCTCTCTCTCTCTCTCTCTCTCTCTCTCTCTCTCTCTCTCTCTCTCTCTCTCTGCAGTCTCGCTGTTCTCTCTGTACCCTCAATCTCTACCCTAGATCGTAACCCTGGATACACCCACTCAGGTAAGTTTCACACTTGGCGGCTATGGCCGCCCTCCTTCCTATCTCCCTCTTCCCTAGCTATGGAGTAACTCTCAAGCGCCCCCTTCCTCCTTCAGGCACAAAGCGCCCAAGTTGCCTTAATTAACAAGCAGCTGCAGTGCTTCTGCATCTTGCAATTGAACAAGTGATGAGCCGCTGCACTGTCGCAGCCAAGTACAGGAACTGGACCTGGCTTGGCCTGCTTCACATCGGTACCGGTAGGCCGCGGTCTGTCTGCTGCAATCATTTTGTCGGCCCGGTAGCATCTGGACCTTCCTGGGACATGCTGCGAAATAGGACTCGGGACTGTACTGGACTGGGCTGGACTTTTCTTGCCGGTACCGGACTGACTTTTACTGACCTGCCAACCTACGATGCTTCAGTCTATGGACCCTACGAACTACCCTACTGGGACAGCCTGGGACTGGGACGTATTGGGACAGTAGAACCGGAACTCAGGACGTCTGCAGCATGAATCGTTTTAGTTGGAATTGTATGTGGGTTTTGTTCCCAAGGTTTAAAGGGATCATAGAGGACTGTAATGACCGTTGGTAGGTGCTTTTGAAGAACATGCTGTACCCAGTGATTACAGGCACTGAAACGGTTTCACCCAGTTTACCCGACAGATGCAGACATCAGGACTCAATCCCTAGACCTACCCGCTAACCCTGTACATTGACCCTGTAACCCTGTGTGAGATTTGAACCCAGGACCTGTCCCTGAATCCCTTAGGTTAGTTAGTCTGTGTGTTAGTCGCTAGGTCTTGGCCGATAGACCTTCGTGTTGGCAGTTTAGTGTCTTACCGTTCAGTCTAGTCTAGGTCCTTCCAGAAGACAGCTGACTGTAGCTGAGTCATCAAGTGGGAAGTAGCCCTAAGGCCTAGCGAAGGGTCAGTTTAGCAAGCTAGGAGCCTCTAGAAGCCGTTGGTCGACTCTTCAGGACCGTAGGGGTCAGTCAGTAAGTCTACTTAGTCTAGTCAGCAGTCCCCTAGTCCTACCTAGCCCAGTCAGCAGTCTCCAGTCCCAGTCCTACCTAGTCTAGTCAGCAAGTACCAGGTGGGGCATGCGCTTCACTCTCTTAAGGCATTCTCTTTCAAACACATTTTCTCTCTCCTTCTCTCCCTCTTCCTCTTTCCCTCTCTGTCTCACACAGAGTTATACACATAGCAGACATGCACACTTTGAACAGTCTGTATCTGCCTGTATGTCTGTTCTTTTATTCATATGTGTGCACATGGATGCCATGGCCTGAGTCTCTTGATTGGATGGATAGGACACTACAATTTGAGAAACATGACTATATCTCTCTCCTCCCTCTCTCTCTCTCTCTCTCTCTCTGTCTCTCTCTGTCTCTCTCCCGGTGTCTCTCTGTGTCCCTCTCTGCCTCTGTCTCTCTCTGTCTCCGTTCCTTTCTATCTCCTTCTGGATCCCACTTCCTCTCCTCATCTCTCTCCCC